TGGAAATTTACAAGGTAGCCTTATATCTATTGTATGTTTTATGTTCTTTTGAGTTTTACCAGCTAGCTTTTTTTTTTCTCTGGCGGACAATTCTAACAGATCATAGCTCATCTCTGCCAGACGTTCCATACCGTAAGTAGGCGTCCATTTTGTCCAGTCTTCGCAGCGCTTTAGTACAATCTCCAAGACGCCTGCCGTTTTGCCGCTGACACGACAGACGCAGACCAAGTCTGCTATTAAAGCTGTCCATTCCTTCCGATAATTAGCCTCCAGATTAGCGGGGTTACGCTTGGCCAAAGAAAAGGGACTTAATTATCCCGCAGGTCATATTTCCTGAAGCGAGTGACCGTCAAATCGGGCGTGACTCGTGAGGAAATTGAGCTAGGCGGCCGTGATATTTGCTGCCGACGGATTGAAAGCCTGGCCATCGGTAGCCAGTATCATCATACGGGTTAGCAGTGACCCAATGTGAAGTTCAAGGCAAGTAGCGGGGGTCGTATGTGGTTTGGATACCACTGCAGGTGAGTGGACATATTTGACTTTGAGAGAAACAAGGAAGAACAGAGGAGCTACTTGTTTTGACCACGGGCGTAGGGAAAGAAGGTGAGTTACCACACAGGGTGGCACATATTTTCGGGGGGGGGGGGCATTTTCTTTCTAATTTATATAAGTTATAGAGCTTATTTTGTGTGTGTATTCTGTATGCAATGTAAGTGTAGTTTTCGTAAATCGAGGGGCGGGACGACAAAATCAAGGACCCCCCCCGCCAGGCATCACAAACTCTGGCAACTCCACTGGATTTTTTCGCCTTTATTCTAAGTCAAGATAAGATGTAATTGTAAGAGATTATAATGATAATGAACTTACTAAGGAAACATGGGCGTCTTCGGCAGTGACAGAGCAAATGCTAGTGGTGACTGGAGCACGCTAGGATTTTTACCGACCCCATTTCACGAAAACACAACATATCTGCAGTTGTCCGAAGATATCGCCCATCACTGTCGCCCCTCACTGTAACCACTCACTGTTGCACCTCAGTGTCACTCCTCACTGTCACCCCTCACTGTCACCACGCACTATCACATACACTGTCGCCCCTAACTGTCACCACTCACTGTTGCACCTCACTGTCCCTCCCATTGTCACTCCTTACTGTCACCCCTAACTGTCGTCGCTCAATGTCACCACTCACTTTCGCCCCTCACTTTCCCCCCTCACTGTCTTCACTCACTGTCACCACTCACTGTCACCACTCACTGTCACCCCTAACTATCACCCCTCACTATCACCACTCACTATCACAACTCACTATCACCACTCACTATCACCACTCAATATCACCACTCACTGTCACCCCTCACTGTCACCACTCACTATCACCACTCACTATCACCACTCACTATCACCACTCACCATCACACCTCACTATCACCACTCACTATCACAACTCACTATCACCACTCACTATCACCACTCAATATCACCACTCACTGTCACCCCTCACTGTCACCACTCACTATCACCACTCACTATCACCACTCGCTATCACCACCCACTATCACCCCTCACTGTCACCACTCACTATCACCACTCACCATCACACCTCACTATCACCACTCACTGTCACCACTCACTATCACCACTCACTATCACACCTCACTATCACCAATCACTATCACCACTCGCTATCACCACTCACTATCACCACTCACTATCACCACTCACCATTACACCTCACTATCACCACTCACTGTCACCACTCACTGTCACCACTCACAGTCTCCACTCACTGTCACCAATCCCTGTCATCCCTCACTGCCACCACTCCCTTTCGCCCCTCACTATCACACTCCATGTCGCCCCTACTGTCACCACTCACTGTCACCACTCTCTGTTACCACTCACTATAACCACTCACTATCACCACTCACCATCACCACTCACTATCACAGCTCACTATCACCTCTCACTATCACCACTCACCATCACAACTCACTATCACCATTCACTATCACCACTCACTATCACCTCTCACTATCACAACTCACTATCACCACTCACTGTCACCACTCACTGTCACCACTCCCTGTCACCACTCACTGTTAACCCTCACTGTCACCACTCACTGTCACCACTCACTGCCACCACTCACTGCCACCACTCACTGTCACCACTCACTTTCACCACTCACTGCCACCACTCACTGTCACCATTCACTTTCACCACTCACTGTCACCACTCAATTTCACCACTCACTGTCACCACTCACTGTCACCACTCACTGTCGCCCCTCACTGTCACCACTCACAGGTTTACAATTACTTGCATGGAAATCCGGAATTAAAAAGTACAATGGATCTTTGTTAATAAATAAAACTTTGGAGAACAGAGTAATTAGACGCTCAAGCTAACAAAGATTAGGAAACAAATTTCATGGAAGGTAAAATGTGTTGCAATAATACCTTTTTAAAAATAACTCCTTAATATCATGAGAGGATTTCTATGGGCGACGTTCAAATTTAATAAGAACAAAGGACAGTTAATAGAGGAGATAACTCAAAATTAAGAATATTGTTCTACTTTTATTCACATTCAACTCCCCTATGGTTTTTTTTTAAATGCTATGAAGCACGTAGTTTTGAGAGTATCTGAATTGAAACCCAAGTAAACTATGTGAAGATATTTTGCATATATCTTTAACTAAATGCATTACAAACCCTTTTTTAAAGTAGCATTGCGTAATCTTTTAGTAGATGTATTAGAGACGGTGTGCCCAACAAGATGGTCGTGAAGGCTACATAGTAGCAGTAGGCTATCGTTATGTAGATGAAGTGAAGGTATTGTACCCATACAAGATGGTCTTCTTTGAAGACCACATAGTAGCAGTAAGTTATTTTCATGTAAGATGTATTGAAGGCATTAATAAATAAAACTCTGATAGATAAAAAAAAGGAGATTTTGCTGACATTAGAGAAAGAGATGAAATTTTTGCTATATTCCTTAAAATAATATAATGAGACGTTACATAATTGTGTGTGTGTAAATTAATATTTGTATTTTTGAGGCGAGTAGATTTTCAATTGTTGTGCTGTTAGTTAATCTAACTATTTTTTGGTTTTTGTTTAATGTATTGTTTGTTTTTGTATTTGAATTTATGTTTTAAGAGAAATTAATTAGCATAGTTATAGTGAATATAGTAGCCCTAGCTTTGGTATCGTTTTCTTTGCATACTGTTTTTCTCGGTCTTTTGTTACGTATTTATACGAGCCAAATCTTAAAGCATATTACATCTTCAGATCATAACGGTACTTAACAAGCATACGGCAGCCATGTGAATGCCAACATAGAAGATGAAATGTTATCAAGAGCGAAAAAGTTGCAACAGCCGTATTCAGACACTCCTCAGAACGGTGATCCCAAAGTAAAAATAGAATACTTCCGTTAGAAAGCGTCCGGCTTTCAGCATAATAGCTGCCGATAATTGGTGACGTAATTTTTTTTTACTTCAAATTTTGTTTGCAGAATAATTATTGCTTTTCTTTTAATAATATAAAATTAACAATACCATGGTCCGCATACCGCAAGGCAAAGTTCATTTTTCAAAATAATTTTTTTGTCAGGAAACATTCTGCAAACTTATGACACAACTAAGACTCACTATCACCACTCACTGTCACTGTCACCATATATCATATATGTTTTTTTTGTTAGTGTGGCCAGCTTAACACCGTCTGTCTAATATACAACAGAAATTCAACAGAGATAAAGTTTGTTTCTCTCTTGTATTTTTCTTTCTTTTTCTTCTTTGTTTTACTCCGTTTTTCTTTTCAGGAGATGATGATGATGAAGATCCCGATGAAAAGGCCTTGCATAGCGCGATCTCATAAAAAATTTTTTTTTAAATTACTAAATTTAAGTTTTCAATTATCCATGGTAGCCAGACACTTTTAAAGATTTTTATGTTATTTCAATTTAGGACCGCCGTTCTGATGAGTGCCAGTACTCGTAATGATATAACACCACAGTTCTTCCAGCAGCTGCAAAGATTTATGATGGATCTAAAACAAGAAATACAAATTAAAAAAAAACACAATCGAAGAGTTGAGTGATTTTGTAAATCCTTTATATTAACTTTGCTTTTGTTCGTGTGTTGTTGTTTTTTTCTGGGTGTGTGGCAAAATATTTGGAAGGCTAATTGACCACTTCCCGTCAACCTATCCAGATGAACGTGTCGCATAGAATCGTTGCCAATGACAACACATTCTATTCGCCCCGGGTCCCTTTAGACCAGGGGTGGGCACACTTTTTGTGCGGAGGACCACATTGACTAATGTAAAGCAATTTGGGGCTGCATGTTTATTATGTACAATTTTTACATTTACATGTTGATAAACATTTCTCTATATTAAAATCGGTATATTCGCATTTTAGCATTACATGACAAAAGTCAATGACTATTTAAAAAAATAGAAAATTAGAAAGGAATTTGATCAAAAATGTTAAAACAATCATTACGGTAAATGAAATTCTGTAAAATTCAACAAAATAACTGAAACACAAAGTAATTTTTGTATTTAATGCCTGCGAGGGCCGTATAGTGTCAGTTGCCGGGACGCATGCGGGTCGTAGTATGACATTCGGAAGTCATTTGTGGTAGTTTATTTTAGTTAAACTGAAGTAATTTTACAAACATATCGTCCATTCAATTATCTTTCATTTGATACCAAATTTGTGTCTTACAAACCCAACAATATTTTAATTTTTTTTTTTTTTTTATAAACCCAACCTCTCACTCTTTTTCGGGTCCAAAATATATAGACCCTTCACTTCGATAGTGATCTCAGTTTTCCTCTGCTAAATTTAGGATTCATTTTCCTATTTGTACACTCATTGTTTTCCGTGGCAGCTTTACAATTTGTTTAAAATACTCTATAAATATATTTATTTATTTATCAAGAGCAAAATTCAATACATATTTTAAAAGATATTCACAGTTTTAATGATGATTTATCTTCTTTCTTGAAATACTCAGCATAACTACGCCTACAATAATTCTGGATTTAATGGAAATAGGTCATGTGTTGTTTACAAAATTTCGGACTCAAACACTACACACGTGTGCTCCACATTATCGTGCTATTTGTAATTAAAATGGGTAAAGTTAAGAAACAAAAACGCCACCAGAAGTTCAATTATAACAAAGATAGAAAAAAGAATTGGAAGAAAGCCAAAGGAACACCAACAATTAAATGGTTAGTTTTTTATCATTTCTAAGAAATGAAATTTAAGTAAGCCTACCAATTTTCGATATCGTGATGAGACGTTAACGACGTGGTCTCTTGTTCGAGTTGTGAGTCTCGACAACTAACCCACTTGTCACTTGTAGTTCAGCGCCATAATATTTTCCTATGAAAGTCAGTTTATTCATCTGCATCTTTAAGATGTGTATATCATACAATAAAAATATATATCTGGTTAGAAGATACTTCAAAATTTGAAAATACTTGCCTTTTTTGGCTTGGCCATTTAATTATTATGTAGTCTAACTAAAGAGAATACAAATTATAAACAATTGCATTGAGCCTTGTCCCTGACTGAGCTTATCAAAACAGTAGCTAACACTGTGAGTTGTATTTGTAGTTTGTGATGAATGCTTAGTAAATTTTGTGTTAACACTAACAGTATAATGGCCAAGCATTGTTTCTCCCTGGCTAAGCACAGTCATAATGAAATGTCACTTTGTTGGGGAATCCCAGCAGTGGAGCAGATGAATAGATTAATTGTTGGACCTAAAAGATGTATGTGATAACTTTCCCATTCTCACTGAGCATTACTCACGTCATAAATTAAATCTGTTGATATGAAGTATCAGTATATATTTAATTTAAATAAAATTTACCATTTTTAATCAAATCAATTTTGCTAGTATTAAGTATTACTAGTAATACTAATTTCAAAAGAAATGAAATATAATAATACATCCTTGCTGATATCCCAACACCAGTGAAAAAAATGTGTGGGTGTTGTCTTTTGATACATTGAAAATTGAAGCACCCATGTAACAAACTGATCTTCTGGGGAAGGGAGACCCCTACCCCTCTCTCCACTTTCAACAATAGACAATAAGAAAACATAAAATTGCATTAAATGAACACAAATGTATAAATCAAAGTCTTATAAATACAGTGCAATAAGTTATAGATGGAAGGACCTTGAATTTTTAGTCACGTCGCTCAATCTCTTAATAAAGTTCAGTTATGATCAGTACTATTTTAAAAATGGGTCTCCCCTTTTAAAATTTATAAAATATGTGTCCAAACACGTTTTTAAAAAAAAGTATATGTAGCACTGTGAACTCACTTACCCCAAGTCAACGTTCCTATTAATGGTCTCAGCAAGGTCAGATTTCTACTTAATTCATACTCTCGTAACCGGCATGCACCGCAGATTTGAAATAAAATTAGGAGAATCCTCTATTTTCACAAATGATGCAAAACAACTCTAAACACAGATATCTACCGAAAACTAAAAGCGCCAGCTGATCACAGCGATCGCTGCTCGGTAGGCCGCATTTTTCTATCGCCGGTGGAGTGCCTAACCTGGGAAACCTTCGTTACCTGTACACTATGGAACACATCACAGGCCTCACTGCTAACTGTTATTCTGAAATCCGCCCAATTGCTTTTTTTATTATCGCAAACATTAAATGTACAAAATGGCACTAGATTCAATTTTCTAGCTTTAGATAGGCAGATAGGTGCTCCGAAGCGATAAATTTTTGTAGTAACATAACCTCAGTATCAGTAGCTGTTGTGGGGTCACCGCTTGCAAAACCCACTCTAATCATTGAATTTATGTTATTTATTTTTTTTATATGGACTATTGTATCTACAGCACTGTTATTAACAACACCCAGGATACATTTTTATACCATTGCCATGAATACTATTCTATTTATTGTTACTGACATTTGGATTCTTTCAATCTTCCAGTGATGAAATTAAACAAGCATGGGATGAAACCAAAAGTGTCAAGCAAAATCTTGCTGAGATGGGCATTTCAGCTGACCCAAACAAGACGTTTAAAGTGCCCAGAACAAAGGTATAATATAATGTCATGGTTTTTAATAATGTAAAGCATAAATGCAAGAGTTTAGTTTCGGGGAAAAAACTAATTCTTTTCATCTATCCTAATAAAGATAAATTGGTAATTGTGCCAAGTACGCTTGACAATTCCCTCTATTCTACCATGTATTTGTGCTACTTTTTTCCACCATCTTTGATGCCATGATGACAGACATATCATAGCAATAAAAATCACGGCTATGAAAATAAAAAAGTAGTGCAAAAACAAGACTGCTAAAATGGGGAGGGGTCATTGTGTTTTTTAAATTACTTACAGAGAGAAACAAAAATTAGGAACAATACTTACAAATTTAATGGTCGACCCCTTTCCTGGTGCATTAATTTCATGGCCAACATAGTAATTTTATTGTATCCCTTTAGATATGTGAAGATAAGTGTCAAACAGTCTCCTCATAGGGTATTTTAAATCTCGTTTTAAATATTACAAGTAACCACCCTGGGAAAAATTAATTTCAAGCATTCAGTCGACGTATTAATATTTAAAAAAAAGAAAAGTTAACTAGTAACACTTCACTAATAATGAACAAAAGGGAACTCGCTCATCCCCGTTTGAAACGTCAAACTTACATAATTTCCTATAATCTAAATAGGCCTTTACCTGCAATTTATTTTTGTGATTTTTAAAACACTTTTTTTCTTCCTAATTTGCTATTTAAAAAGATGAAATTGTAGTATTCATTCAATTGAAAAATGTATTTACAGGCTGCTAAAATGGGAACACTTAATGTGGAAATGGAAGTTGATTTACCCACAACTCCTGTTAAAAACTTTGTAATTAAAGGTATGTATGTGTGTGTTACCTGCAGTAACAATAGTCACGAAATTTCTCCTGGTCACACCTGCTGATGCCCAGTTGGTTCGGGTTAAGTTTGATCAAAATCCTACCATTTTTAATTTGAGCTCTGATTGTTTTATTGATTTTTTCCGCATTCCTCAAATCGTTGTATATCATCCTCGCTGAACAGTGTGCTTTCACGATCATGTTATGTTTGACATCATTAATTATTTAAATGGTAGATATATTTAAGTGTAGGTCTTATTGCAGTGATTGAAAGCATAGATTTGTTCTGGGAATGTCCCTTGTGGTAAGGTGTGTTTATAACTGCAAGGCGGGAAAGGAGCAAGAAAAGCAAGACTTCACAAAAAGAGATAGATTCTGGCTCATAATCCCATTATTACTCTGGAGATACCGTACCAGTAACACCTGATAGTATTTCAATATATGAAAATTAATATTTCCTCCAATTTTCTTTTTCGTAAAGCACTATTTAAACTTTTTGTAGTTTGTGATACATCAGCAATAACACCACCCTGAAATGCTGGATAGCTGGGGGAAAAAAAAGTCACAAGCTTTGTTAGGAAAATAAAAGTCACAGAAACACTTATTAACCATAATTTTAGTTGTAAGTCCATATAATTGTTTATTACAGTCTAAGTTTAGGTAAATGGAAGTAAAGACAGCATTAGGATTATTGTGTATTATTGTATGATTTGTATACATATCATAATCATACATTGAAGTAAAGACAGCATTAGGATTATTGTGTATTATTGTATGATTTGTATACATATCATAATCATACATTGAACTCTATGATTTATGCAATAATAGTTACATTGGTGTGCATGAAGCCAGTGTACACAAATATTATAGATTGATTAACAATAATTGGTAGTAAGGGTATGCATAGAGATTAAGCTCACAAAATGTTTGTGATTTGAATCTCCTTAAGGGTGACATGTTTTTATTTTGATGGGTGTGTGTGATTTAAAAGACTCTACCTCTGATCGCCCGACACATCTTCACATAGTAAATTAATTAAAGGAAAGCAAGGGGCAATTCTTTGTTGTGGTACTAGTTTAGGGATAACACTATCCCGACAAGCATCAATGGCCTCAATGTGGTGAGTGCGGCATTGGTCCGAAAGATATGAAAATTCATTTGTTCTCCTAATCTTGACAGAATTTACCAGTGAGCTCCACTGACCGTTCTCATCAAAAGAATTAAAAATATTTTTTTTACAATGTTTTCTTTCAGACTTTTATGTGATACTTATCAATGCATATTAATATTTGTGTAAATGGGTCTTTCTGATTTTCATATTGTGTTATTTCCTTCCTATCCCTTTTCTGCCCTTGAATTATGGTTCCAGTAACATTTATTAGGACTTACAAATTAAATTACGGTTAAGTAAAATGTTTTATTGTGATCCTTTTCAAGTGGCTTTTTTTCATACAGTTGCTCTCTATTCCCTTAATATAAGTTATACATTATTTTGTAAAAATTGTAATGTCTGCAGATCTTGAAGAAAAGTCAAAATTACCCTACACAAAGAAAATGAGTATGTCGGATGAAGATGCTGGTTATTGTATCTACTTAATGGATAAATATGGAGACAACTACAAGGTAAGTTGTTGGTTCTCTCAAAGCTTTCTAATTTATGTGTACATTAAATGTTTTTATTTGCATGGCATGGTGATCTCATGGTAAAATACATTCATATTCCTGGGCGTAGCTTATTATCCCTACAGCTCATAAATGAAGCTTGAGTACTGTGTCTTGTGCAGATTTAAATACGAGTATTATTTTTATGCCAAGATGGACACAACTTACCACAGTATGGAATTGTTGAGCATAAATAACTATTGGTGTTATTAGTTATATATTTTGTATTCCTCCAACCAGTGAATTCTATACAGGTGCTCACAAGACAGGCGTGTGTTTGTTCACCTAATAATACCAATTTGCTTGTGGGAATTTGTTTCTAGCTGGAATTTCCTTGGCAGACTTTTAAATGTCTTGTATCTTAATAAATCTGCTATCCAACCACCTAGGCGTTTCTTTTTGTAAAACACTTAATTGCTATTAGTCTAATTGGTTGGTTTCAAATTATTATTTAGAGCAATTGCTCTGAGGCTGTTATATCTTTGTATTTTTACATCAATAAAATAATTTAAGCTTTTTTAAATCATATGGTTACTTAAATTTAAATTAAGATCCATTTCAGATTAAGTAATGTGCTGTAATGCACTTTAAACATTATCATTATGAGAAGAAGAAAAAAAAACAACTTTTTCTCTAAGAATCTATTTTTCAGACTCGGGCGTTACAGAAAATAATTTGTATTTTCCATATTTTTGCCTTTAGGGTATGTCACGTGATGAAAGAAACTATTATCAGGAAACTCCGAAACAAATACAACGCAAAATTAATCGCTTCAAAAGCATTCCAGAAATGTACAACCTTTATCTTGAATCCAGACAAGGTGAGACATCTAATAAAAAGACTGGACCCAGATAGTGCATAGGGAAATAGTTTATCTTCATGGAAATAGTGTGGCCTGAGAAACAGGCCTTTATGACATAATGTCAGACTTCTTAAGAGTTTCTCACTTTCATGAGCGTACATGAAAGAAAAACATGTTTTTAAAATAGAATTCTTGCCTTTTGAAACCTTAGTAATGTTTCTAAATTATTTTTTTTATGAAAGAAAATTAATTCTGATTTTCAATTCAACATGAGAAACTGTTCTACATATTACCAGACACTCGTTCTGTAACATCTTGACATTATTATTCAAATGAAAAGTCTTTTTTTTTTTTATATGAATACAAAATAGTTTTTCGATTTCTGTATTTGAAATCTTGTTTGCTTACACAAAAAGTAAACACTTAACAAAATAATCAAATTTGAAACACCAATGGCGTGGATTTAGACCAGGGGAAAATGTCTTTTGTGATCATTTTGGCCTTGTTATTGTAAAAGCACTGAAATGTAAATGAGTCAAATTACTCTCTAGTAATTTTTCTTTGATGAAATCAACACATTGGTGCTTGTGTATTTTTCATCCTCTATCAATTGCTTAACTGGTGCAATGAAACTAACATAGGCAGATGTTGCATTCTTATCTTAAAAACTTTAACTTGCTTTGTGTTCCATAAAAAAATAATGTTAAGTTAATTTTGGTTTTAAATTAACATCTCCTTGGGCCATGACATATTGACATTGGTTTGAACAAGCAGATACAAATTGAGCTGCAATAAAAAAAAAAGTTTGTTAAAATTGTGGCTCTGCTTGAAATCTTGTATTATTATTATCTCCCTCATATGAAATAAAATATGAATCACCTCACCCATGAGTTTTTCATTTGTTTAGCAATAGTGAATAAAATTAATGAAACAAATATTGATTAAAAAAATGGAGAATTTAAATTTAAGAAGTTTTTTTTTTGTAGTGTTTTAACTGCCACTTCTGTGTTTTCATTTGATCGTGACAGAAACTCCTACAATAGGTTAAGGTCTAAAAATGTTCACAAAAGTCTTTTCATTAACATCATTTAACAATCAAAATAAGACCAAAAATAAGACCAAAAATAAGACCACCTAAACGTACTCTTGTCAAAGTGAAACATTGGGTCCATGTCTTTTTGTTGGCTACTATAGTTGATTAATTTTGTACTTAGAGCTAAATTTGAATTACACATGACTTGTATAGCTTTTTAAGCTGATCACAATAACAGCTCGTGCCTCTCCAGTACCTGACTGTTCATAATATTCACATGATGTTCACATGAATTTATGTACCGGTAGTAACCTGGCACCATAAACATTAAACATTGCAATAAAAACAATAAATTATATTTCTGACGTCCTAATGGCTCTGAAACTATTTTTATTGCAATGGGCCACATCTGCAATCTGGTGAGCTCCCATTTGTAAATATTGGATAAATATTTTATTTCTATTATAGTTGAAAGAAGCAGAAAATCATTCCCCCAAAAAAGTAGCATACCTTCACAAATGAAAAAGTCTAATACTAATATATGAAAGTTCTTCTTTATCTGTCAAGTAGGAGCAAAAATTACAGGCTTGTAAAATCCATGGCTTATCCCCCTTTATGAATAAATAAAGTGCCAGGTACTAGCTCTAACTGGTCTACAACACTGGTTAAGTTAATATTACAATTGAGAAAACAAAGATGTCTGTAAGCAGTATATTTTATTTTATTTTGTATAATACTGAATGGTGAAGGCAAACGGACCACACAAATTTGGATAAATCAGTGTCATGTACAAGGTACATCACACATATAGTACTATATGTATAACAGATCACAAAACTTTTAGAACTTCTAGTTATTAACATTTCAGATAACCCTTTTCTCTCCAAATTTATCTTTATCTGGAAATGTAATCTTTTATGGTAATGATTGCTTTAAAATGATTTATAAAAAAAAAATTCACTAATCTTTAAGTTTAAAAGACTTTGATGACATGAAATTATCTCATTGAGGACTTCATTTTTAAAAGCGTGACCATCATACTCATAGGTTGCATAATTGATATGTTGTAAACTTGTAAACAAACATCTTACAAGCACATTACAATCACATCCATCAAAACTAAATTATACAAGAGACATTCTCATACACAACTATGGTAATTCAAAATCATTTATTTAGTGAAAAAATAACAAAGCTTCTATATTTGATCATACCTGTGTCAATTTCCTCTGTAATTCCGGAGGGTAGCTCTTTAAAAGCGTGACCATCATACTCATAGGTTGCATAATTGATATGTTGTAAACTTGTAAACAAACATCTTACAAGCACATTACAATCACATCCATCAAAACTAAATTATACAAGAGACATTCTCATACACAACTATGGTAATTCAAAATCATTTATTTAGTGAAAAAATAACAAAGCTTCTATATTTGATCATACCTGTGTCAATTTCCTCTGTAAAAAAAAAAACAAACTCATTGTGCCATTTTGTTGTGGGGAAAAACATTTATAGCTAGCACTAACAGAAGCAAATGTAAACCAAAACGAAATTTCAACTATCCACTGTCAACTATCATAAAGCTCTCATCTATTTATTGGCTGGGCTAATTCGTTGATTCTAGCTGATATCTGGCCTTTCAGGGCTTGTGGTTTCACTTTAAATGCTTCCGGGTTGTACTGTAAAATTTTCATGTCTGTCCTCTGCATTGGGTGGGCCAGAGCATTCAGTCTCTCTGTGGCTGAGGCTTGCAGGGCCGCTCTGCTGACCGGCCACTGAATTTCCTTAGCTGGTTGGAATCCATCGGCCAAAGATTTGGCTCTCGCTAGTTCCATGCACCTCTGAGATGCAACAGAGTTCAAGGCAACTTCTGATACCTGATGTGAATAATTTGTGTGAACATCAAGTTTGAGTAATATCGATATCCTTTGCCTTTGATCTTTGTATCTATGATTACCGTACTAGTGTACATAACTTATATATAAAAATAAAAAGAATTTAGATTCATTCTATAAGATGTAGTGGCCCTTCGAAATAAAAGCAAAAAAAAACAAAATAATTGAGTGTGTTTAAAAACGGTACAGACGATGATAATGACCAATACATGCATATCAAGTTAGGAAGGGAGCAGAGAAAGGATGCAAATACGGGGTACAACAGTTACTAAATATTAGTTAAAATACTTACTGGCCACTTGGGGTCTCTGAATGGGCCCTCTGGTTTAAGTTTGGGCGAAGATAAGGTTTCGATTCTCTCTGTAGGTTTATTCCTCTTTGCGGCTTCTGACACTTCCCACGGCAGTGTCTTCTCGGGTTGGAATTCCGGAGGGTAGCTCTTGTGCACCGCCAGCAGTTCAACCCGTGGACTGGCCCCGCTCTTCAAGGTGCTGGGGGATACCTCCCAGATGGGGCTTGATCGACCGCAGCTGAACATGTATTCGTGTCTATTGTTAGGGGGAATAGAGGGTTTTAATCGGTATCTTGTAAGACACTTATCCGCACACGCGCATAGACTATTAAATTGGTTTTGTAAACCTGATTGGTAAGATTGTATTGTGTATCTTCTTTTAAATAAAACAACAAATAAATCTACATTATTTATAGTTGAAGAGGCCAAATCAAAAGAACATGTTCTATACCCATTACCCCTAAACATTACCTCTGATAGTATAAAGGCAAAGATGTTTTGAAGGTACTAAGAAGCACTATAAACAAACTCCCTATTTTTAACAGAGGTATTCAAACCCATTTGATGCGACCGAGATAACTCATACTTATGCTTAGGGAGAATGCTATCCTTGATATCGATAATTCTGAAATGGAGCCTTTATAAATTTTAATACCCAGTCTTTTTTATGTAGCCAGTAACAAAAAAAGAGCATTTTATGAAAAATGTTTGGTACCTGTATCTTTAATTTGTATTTTATTATGACGGTGGGGCAGCTATTCGTGTTCAATAATCGAAATCGAATGTTCTATACTATAAAGGTATTTTATTCATAAATGAATGTTCCATTTTTCATGCACTTTTGTCGTGCTGTCTCGGATGGGCATACTTGGCCTATTGGCATTCAGGAGCTTATGGAGGGTACTTGTTATAATCTGCCTGGTTGTTCATTTTCTCTCATTATACTTGTTAAAATTATCAGTACCGGTATTGTTTTACATAATGCCCCTGTAATTTCATTTTGTGTTTCATAATGCTCCTGTAATTTCATATTGTTTCATAATGCCCTTGTAATTTCCATTCTTATTGTTTCATAATGCCCCTGTAATTTCATTTTGTGTTTCATAATGCTCCTGTAATTTCATATTGTTTCATAATGCCCTTGTAATTTGATTTTGTGTTTCATAATGCTCCTGTAATTTCATATTGTTTCATAATGCCCTTGTAATTTCCATTCTTATTGTTTCATAATGCCCCTGTAATTTCGTATTGTTTCATAATGCCCCTGTAATTTCCATTCTTATTGTTTCATGATTCCCCTGTTATTTCATTTTTTGTTTCATGATTCCCCTGTAATTTGGCATTGTTTCATAATTCCACTGTATTTTGGCATTGTTTCATAATTCCCCTGTAATTTCTCATTGTTTCATAATTCCCCTATAATTTCGCATTGTTTCATAATTCCCCTGTAATTTCGTATTATTTCATAAGGCCCCTGCAATTTCCTTTCTTATTTTTCATAATGCCCATGTAATTTCGTACTGTTTCATAATAATGCCCCTGTTATTTCCGTTCTTATTGTTTCTTAATGCCCCTGTAATTTTGTATTGTTTCATAATGCCCCTGTAATTTTGTATTGTTTCATAATAATGCCCCTGTTATTTCCGTTCTTATTGTTTCATAATGCCCCTGTAATTTCGTATTGTTTCATAATGCCCCTGTAAGATCCGTTCTTATTGGTTCATAATGCCCCTGTAAGATCCGTTCTTATTGTTTCATAATGCCCCTGTAAGATCCGTTCTTATTGTTTCTTAATGCCCCTGTAATTTTGTATTGTTTCATAATAATGCCCCTGTTATTTCCGTTCTTATTGTTTCATAATGCCCCTGTAATTTCGTATTGTTTCATAATGCCCCTGTAAGATCCGTTCTTATTGTTTCTTAATGCCCCTGTAATTTCGTATTGTTTCATAATAATGCCCCTGTTATTTCCGTTCTTATTGTTTCATAATGCCCCTGTAATTTCGTATTGTTTCATAATGCCCTGTAAGATCCGTTCTTATTGGTTCATAATGCCCCTGTAAGATCCGTTCTTATTGTTTCATAATGCCCCTGTAAGATCCGTTCATATTGTTTCATAATGCCCCCGTAATTTTGTATTGTTCCATAATGCCCCTGTAATTTCGTATTGTTTCATAATGCCCCTGTAATTTTGTATTGCTTCATAATGCCCGTGTAGTTTTCTTTGTATCACCATCCTCACCTGTTTGACGTGTGCTGTGGGAATGTCTTGTGGCGGGCCAGTTCATCCACACGGGCAGATGCTGTAGCTTTGAGCGCGTTCTCATCCACATTACACAACACAGAGGACCTTCCACAGCTGTACTGCCAGAGTGGTCTAAAAGGGGATTATATTGATGCACCGTAGGACATAATGATGCATTAAAGAGTCAATCTTTCTAAAGTACTCTTATAGATTCCGGTATTCAATATAGGACTGACAATGTCGTAGTATAAGGGAAGCAAAAGTACAAATTAGCGCTAATGTTTGTTTGTAAATTAAATTCTCGTAAGTACTACTACAACGAAGATTATGTCAAACAAAATGAAATTGCTCGAAGCATTTTAATCATAACGAAATCCACCGTCAGCACTGCAGTGTTGAGGAAATGTGATGTAGTCAACTGCATGCATACACTCACCCGTTGACTTAAACTACTTCTTGCATCAGTTGCATTCACTCACCTGCTAACACGGGCGTCAGACTGGAAGTTTTTCTTGGGAGAAGCAAGCTCGTTAACTCTAGGGCTAGGGGTGGCTGAAATGGCCGCTCTGTTGATTGGCCATATGGGCTCCTGATTCCCCCATCTCTGAGACGGCCTGGAGTTTAAAAATAGTTGTTTTTTCAAAGTTTCTAAACGGAGCAAAATCATGTTCACTCTTAAAGTTGAAAGTTTATTGAGTCTACGTATGACAATTTGTTCACATGTGACATAGGATTGTATGGGGTGCCTGCATCATATGAAATAATTGTATGGGGTTCCTGCATCGCGTAATTGTATGGGGTATCTGTATCGTGTAACATCTGATTGTATGGGGTGTCTGCATCTACCATCATGGTGCTAGTGCTGTAGGCGTATACCAAGACGTAAGACATAGTGGGAGTCATAGTGTTTACCGGATAATAGTGTCAAAGTGTACTCGTTTTTATAGCCATTTTAATGTTTAAGCTACTGTTTCTTTAGTCATTTTTCACCTTGTAGTTACTACTCTAGTGTCTCTGGTTTTTCATTTGTATTTACTTTAGCAGTTTAAATAGTTTACATATTTTTAATGATTGTAAAGGGCTTAGAGCTGTATGGTAAGCGCTATAAAAAAATGCCTAAATAAATAAATAATAGACCGATTCACTCTTTAGATATTGTGTTGGTGGTAAATTTTGTTATAAACTTCATGGCGCGCAATTATAATCGTCTTTGTGGAATAATGGAAATACCAAAGAAATTACTAAGAAAATAAAATGAATGACAATTTAGTAATAGTAATATTTACAGCTACACTGCCATACATGATTACCGGTATCAAGCATGAAATATTTACCGTAATTATACAATCCAAACACACACCAAAATATAGTTCAAGTCGTCTCTCTACTACTCCTGCTCATCTTTGCTACAGGGCTTATAAAGGCTAGTGATATACATGGTTTAAATTGAAATAGAGCGAGGAGGTTAATTTAAATTTGTATAAGAGAAGATGCATGCAAATTGCTACAAACTTTCCCCATGGCATGGACCGCTACAGGCTCGCCCAGATTGCCGATAAACTATCACCTATCATGGACCTCTACAGACTCGCCCAGATTGCCGATGAACTATCACCTGTCATGGACCTCTACAGGCTCGCCCAGATTGCCGATGAACTATTACCTATCATGGACCTCTACAGGCTCGCCCAGATTTCCGATGAACTATCACCTATCATGGACCTCTACAGGCTCGCCCAGATTTCCGATGAACTATCACCTATCCTGGACCTCTACAGGCTCGCCCAGATTGCCGATGAACTATCACCTATCATGGACCTCTACAGGCTCGCCCAGATTGCCGATGAACTATCACCTATCATGGACCTCTACAGGCTCGCCCAGATTGCCGATGAACTATCACCTGTCATGGACCTCTACAGGCTCGCCCAGATTGCCCATGAACTATCACCTATCATGGACCTCTACAGGCTCGCTCAGATTACCGATGAACTATCACCTATCGTGGACCTCTACAGGCTCGCCCAGATTGCCGATGAACTATTACCTATCATGGACCTCTACAGGCTCGCCCAGATTTCCGATGAACTATCACCTATCATGGACCTCTACAGGCTCGCCCAGATTTCCGATGAACTGTCACCTATCATGGACCTCTACAGGCTCGCCCAGATTTCCGATGAACTATCACCTATCATGGACCTCTACAGGCTCGCCCAAATTTCCGATGAACTATCACCTATCATGGACCTCTACAGTCTCGCCCAGATTTCCGATGAACTATCACCTATCATGGACCTCTACAGGCTCGCCCAGATTGCCGATGAAATATCGCCATGACAGGTTAAGCCAGTACTGTTTACAGTTAACAGAATATTCTGTACAAAATGGCCGTGAATAACAAAACCTGTTCGTCTAAAAGTCGAGCTCGAAATGATTTAAAATTAAAAAAAGAATCTAGCTAGACCTGCCGATTGTTTAGTCTACGTATGTAGGACCGTACACTGTACTTACCCAACACAAGTCCACCATTCCACTTTGGGTTCTTTAGGTCTGGCCAGATATTTGTACCGCTCTCTGAAAGAATAGACCCATATTTTGTTGGGGTGTCTCCAGGCGTTATCACGTTTCTTCTTCAACAAATGCTCGAAATGAAATTCTGAATATTGGATCGAGTCTCCGAACGTTTGTTGTCAAACAAAATGTCTCAGATTACTAGACCCCGAGATAACGCTCTGAACTTCTTGATCAATTAAAAAATAATGTTAACTTAAAGATGCTGAATTTACTCTAATAAATATGGATTGGTGACCACCCCCCCCCAAAATAAATAAATATTATTATTTTTTTTTTTAACCCATTGTCATTTTAAATCCAGTTTCAATCGAGTCTCTTTCATGGTCAATTTTCAAGGCTTCCTCGTTAAAAAATTGAAGTGGTGATAAAGGAACGAGATGAGAGTAAACGAAAACTCTAACGTGAATTTTGTCGGTTTTTTTTCAATAGTGGTCACTCGTCTTCCATAAAATCGGGTCGCGACTAAAATAAGTCGGGAACCTTTGATGTAAAACTGGGCTTGACAAAGAGTGAACACCATTTGCTGTGGTTACCCTAGGCCCCTTAGATTCTCGACTTGGGCTAATGCTAATACTATACACTGTCTCCACCGAGTTGTGTCACCGTTGATGAACAATGGTACATTTAACATTACCGTATCGCCATGTTACCGTACCCCACTTAATAACGGGCCACAGCTCCTCATACTTAGATTGAAGTGATCTGGCATGGTATCAAACTCATTGTTTCATGTCCGCGGATCCCAGCAATAGGGATTTGCTTGGCCTCAATAGCGTTGTCGGCGCAATGTTCCACCTGACTATACCCCTATACTCCATTGTCTCATAAGTATGTGGTTCTCAAGTTCTCCAACCAGACAGGGTAAGGCTAAAATGTTGTTTGTGTCCAGTTAGTTGTCCATACTATTTGTACGTTGGTCAATTAATTATTTTAAATATTTCTTTCGGATTTGGCGCCACGATCAACGTTTACATATTTTGTATCGTATTTGTCACAAAAAAAGGTGCCACTTAACTCTACATCTTTACAAATTGTTTTTCTCGTTTTGTATTGTCAACTGAAGAAGGCATTGGGCCGCAACGTCCTTTTCAGTGTTCTTGGTTTTTTTTTTAACGCCCGAACACATCTTGTTCCACTATTTATTTACGCCACGTGGCTTGAACTTAAACTGCAGTCCACTCTATTCATATAGAATCCTTTGTCACAAAAAGTTTGTTCTACAAAAATCACACTATGGGCACTTGACATACATAATTGGGGTGGGGGTGGGGGACCCGTTCCTATCGCAATGAAGTGAATCTAAAATATTTAGTAACACATTTAAAGAGGCTCAACTGCACACTGGAGACATTGGCCTCAATGTTGGCAAGTTACAATCAAGAAATCGATGTCCCATTAGATCAATGCCTATCAATGTCCAGTGTTCTGTGTCTGTAGACCATTGTGGAGTCGTGTGACCACATGTCAAGCTGGGGGTAATGGAGTCGATGAGTTGGGTGATTTTAATGCTTGGGTTTAGTCTTTTTTCAAACAATGGTCTTGATACAGATACTAGATAGTATGGGTCATCTGGCCTTAATACAGATACTAGATAGTATGGGTCATCTGGCCTTAATACAGATACTAGATAGTATGGGTCATTTGGTATTGATACCGATACTAGATAGTATGGGTCATTTGGTATTAATACCGATACTAGATAGTATGGGTCATTTGGTCTTAATACAGATACTAGATAGTATGGGTCATTTGGTATTAATACAGATACTAGATAGTATGGGTCATTTGGTCTTAATACAGATACTAGATAGTATGGGTCATTTGGTCTTAATACATATACTAGATAGTATGGGTCATTTGGTATTAATACAGATACTAGATAGTATGGGTCATCTTGTCTTGATACAGATACTAGACAGTATCTATTGACCTTATATCGAAGTTGTAATCTTTTGGTCTAACACCTTTGTATCATTTCGGCCGCCTATGTTGTCCTTAAATAAACTCTTTTGGAGACCTGTGTAGGAAACCATTAAGAAAAAACGTTTACATACCTGCCCTTGGTCCGAATCTGGTCATACTCACCTGTGGGGAAAAAAACAAGTTAACATTATAACAACTGTCTTATATCGTTTCTCACCATGATCTGTATGTATTGTTCCGCCATGCGTGGTTGTTTTCTCCTGACATTGCTACCATATTGATTATATCTAACCTCTCATCGGAGAGAAAATGTCATCCTACAGAAAATGTCGCCCTATTCCACGTTTTAGTGCGTTAAAATTGTATTTGAAAGAAAGTATTTGTTAAAAAGCTTCATATATATATATATATATATATA